GGAGGATGCTGGGCCCTCTTGTTTTCCTTATCCCAATCCTTCTGTGCCAGCTTCCTTTCTTCCTGGCAGTCTGCCAGCCAGCAGTATTTTTATGGTTTGTTTGGTCATTCATTCCAATGTCTTCCACTGTAGTTTGACGTCACTTTCTGTTCTGTCCTATGTAATTCTGGGTCATTTTAGAAAAGGCTGAAAAGGTCACAATCCCATCAGAGAAAGGATGTGGCTTATTGTCTCCCTTCTGGGGCCACGTCGGGCAACGCTGAACTGCAGCCCAGGAGCTCTACAAGTCCAGGAGGCAAAACATTCCACGGGACCCCTCTCACCGCAAATTCATAGGAATCATTAAAATTCAGCTCCCTTCATAGAATATATATTTTCCTACAAATTAAAAAAAGCAACAACAGAGTTTTCTTCACTTTGGAATGATGATCTTGTGTTTCTGTTTTAAGGAACAAGAGTATACCACGTCACTTTCCAGAATCTTTTCCAGTTCTAGGGTTGGGGGACGTTTACACAGAAATATACTGATGTGTACACTGACCTAGAACAGACAGGTGCTAACTCTGTTCACAGGCAGAATAGGCGACCACTTAATGTTACCTGACTGGACAACTTTCTCACCTATTCTTCCTAACACCTTTGTCAAGATTTTCCTTCCCCACTGCCTGTCATGAAGCCCAGTAGCCTATCTTTAGAGTCTTGAGAACTGCATTAGTTAAAATTAGGTTTGGCTGTTGGTCATAGTAAAACAAAATGACGGCGGATTAGAGATGGAAATTTCTCTCTCTCTTTGGGTGTGGAAAAACCAACTCAAACTGTTTTTCCTCTGCTCTCACACCACAAAAACAGTCAACACAGAAGAAGACTTCTGTGATCAAATGTTTGGGCATTTCTCCCCCACACACCAACCAAGCAATCAATTCTGCAGTGGACACAAGCTGGGTGTCCTCCAATTCAATTCTGACACTAGCTACCTGGAGATAGCCTGGAGACAGGTTGAGGGCTGAGTCCCACAAGACCACCCCCTCCTTTCTACCAATTGCAAGTCTGGGCCTCAGGAACATCTGACATTCCCAAAGACTTCAAGTTGGGGTTCCCACCACTCCCTTTTCAGGTTCAATTCGTTTGCTAGAGCGGCTCACAGAACTAAGGGAAAAACATTTACCAGTTTATTACAAAGGATATTTTAAAAGATACAAATAAGTGGCGAGATGAAGAGATTCACAGGACAAAGTACAGAAGGGTTCCTAGTGCAGGAGTTCTGTCGCCATGCAACTAGGGTGTACTACCCTCCCAGCACATAGATAAGCTCTTGTTCACCTTCCTGTCAGCCTCCATGTGTTCAGCTATGCAGAAGCTCACTGAACCTGGTCCTCTCAGACCTTTTATGGAGACTTCATTGGATAGACATGCTTGAAGCATGGACAACCATGTTGAAATGTGACTGGACAAAAAGGGCATGGATTTAATACTAATAGACTAAGTAGGGAAACCTAGCAAGACCTGCCTGTTCAGATTCTTCCTGGCCTCTCTGTACAGCATTGCTTCCTCCAGGGTATAGGGCAGGACCTTCTCTGGAATGAGAGTCTTATGACCAACAATCAGGTTAGAGTTCTGCCTTAGGTGAAAGGAGGGCAGGAGAATGTCAGAGAGAGAGAGAGAGAGACAGAGAGAGACATTCTGTTTCCTGAGACCTGCTTCTGAGGCCTAAAGTGCCCCTATATTATAGCAAAAGACTATAATAAGGGCTATGGGAGTTATAAGGCAGGAACTGTGGACCAAAAACTATATATGTGATAATATCACACTCCCCCCTCATATTATCATCTAAGGGTAGGAAGTGCAGAGCTGGTGTGGCAGCTCCACTCCATCTATCCTGAAGTTCTAACAAATGTGGCCTCCATACTTGAGATCAACACTGGGTCTGAGATGGAGCTCCAGCTGTCACATTCATGTTCTAAGTAGCAGGATGAAGAGTGGGGAAGGGAAAGCTGCCTCTGCCAGGAAATTCCCAGAAGCTGCAACATGGCGCTTTCACTCCAATTCTGTCAGTCCCATAGCTACACCTACCTGCAAGAGAGGCTTGGAAATGTCATTTTATCTGGGTGGCCAGGTGCCAAGATAAATACTCAATTACTGTAGGAAAAGTGGAAAATGGCAATTGGGAAAAATCATCAGTTTCTGCCATAAGAACTTGGAATTCCAAGAACCAACTATTAGAACATAAGTAACTCAGAGGGGGTTTTCAACCTCAGCCATTGTCACTCAGTGCTTCTGTGGGGACCAGTGCCACTATGAAAGGGCACAGCTTGTGAGTATGGGGTGTATGCCCAGGGATAGGCAGAGAAGGCAACAAAGAAGAGGCTGCCCAGAGAGCCAGGGGCAGGACCACAAACAAAAGTTACTCTCTTCACCATTTTCCATGGGCCCTGATAAGGATGGGTGCATGGCTGCATCCTTCTCAGCATCAGGAAAGATGACTCTGGAAATAAATGTAAACCATGAATGCCATGGGAGATCTTACAGGGCTGACTGACCACCGCAATTCATGACAGGAGAAAACTAGCATCTTTAGCAACTATGAGGTGCCAGGCACTAAGCCAGAGGCTTTATGTACATTCTACCATTTGATTCTCACAGCAACTTATTATCATTTTCCATTATCATACCATTTTACAAATGTGAAAACAGGCTCAAGACTAAAGGGAGTTTTAATCCATTGCTCTCTCTCAGTGTAGAACAAGACTAGGTTAGACAGACTTCAAGCTATACTACAAGTCTATAGTAACTAAAACAGCATGGACTGGCACAGGAACAGAGACATAGACCAAGGGAACAGAACTGAAAACCCAGATATAAAACCATCCTCATATAAACATCTAATCTTTGACAAAACAGACAAAAACATACACTAGGGAAAAGAATCCTTATTCAATAAATGGTGCTGGGAAAATTGGATAGCCACATGTAGAAGACTGAAACAGGATCCACACCT